AAATCAGTCGGATGGAACTTGTGTGCGATAATCAAGCTGCCCTTCATATTGCATCAAATCCGGTGTTCCATGAGAGAACTAAACACATTGAGATTGATTGTCACTTCGTCAGAGAAAAGATACTTTCAGGAGAGATTGCTACAAAGTTTGTGAGGTCAAATGATCAACTTGCAGATATTTTCACCAAGTCTCTCACTGGTCCTCGTATTAGTTATATATGTAACAAGCTCGGTACATATGATTTGTATGCACCGGCTTGAGGGGGAGTGTTAATTTACAGCATGTATATAGTGTAGTATTGTCCCGCATTGGTAGAGGAGTAGTATGTCCTTGTATAGTATAGCTATAAATAAGGACCTCTTGTGTAGTATTATTCACTAATTCAAATATCAATAACATATTTTCTCCCGTGCCTTCTCACATACATTATCAAATACATGCTGTTTTTTTAATTCTCGACCGAGCTTACTCCGTGCATTGACATTCGAAAACTATTTAACTAACCTTTCTAATCAAATCCTCATTGAGTTTCAGCATGTCCTCCATAGAAGTGAAAGCCATTTCCATATCCAGCTGCGTAAACTCAGGTTGTCTGTCAGCTCTCAAATCTTCATCCCTAAAGCACCTGAAAATTACACCATACAGACTAATGTGAGTCATAACTCACGGGGTACATGCTCATGCATACATTTTTTTTCTTTATAATAAGAATAAGATAACTACTCTTAGGTTTCGTAAAACTATATTGCTTCACACAGTTTTTAGCGATGAAAACGCCTGAGCTTTTATATCTGGATCACCATGAATTTTGCATGCAAGAGATCTGATGCAGAAATATCCTAAAATGCTATTATACACATGAAATACCTTGCTATTTGATAGTACTTATCAAAACCAGAGACCATTAGCATTTGCTTGAACAGCTGAGGACTCTGGGGTAGTGCATAAAATGTTCCTGACTTTATAACACAACCACGAAATAAGTTCCATGTCATGAAGAAATAATTGGAGAAAAAGAGTTTTCCAATTGAAATATGAGTATTGTCCATCAGAAAAAAATATCAGTTAGATGTAATGTTTTTTTATCCATCATAAGGGCAATAATTTTGGACAAGTTCTCATTTTGTTAAGCACAACTCTCCTTGTTCTCCATAAATGTATTTCACTTCAAAGGTAAAAGAGAAAGAAGAATAAATCAGAGGACTGGAGGAACAAGAAGTGTTATTTGCAAGAAAACTCGCTTCTTTTTGTACCAACAACCTTTTAAAAAAATGACAGCAAATAGAGGGACTGAATGAACACAAAAAGTGCCAAAACAGAAGATAAGTAAAGAGTACCTGAACTCTAGAAGGGACCAAATAATCACGAGCACCTTCAGGAGTAGATCTAGATAGTATTGGAGTCTCAATCTACCTTGTAACCATGAGAATGTTGGGGTCAACACTAACAACAAAAGCCACGAAAAAAAAAATAAAAAATAACAATGCAAACATTTTCATCAAAACCAGATAACCAGATTACCTATTCACAAAAGGAAGAAGAAGAAGAATAGATGTCCAAATTCTATAAAAATACAATTAGAGAGCAAAGGTATTACCTCGACAAAACCATGCACATCTTCTAGGTATCTTCGGAGAAGTTTCACTACTCTATGTCGCAAGATTATATTTGAGTTCATTTGTGGACGGCGTAAATCAAGGCATCGATATCTAAAAATGTGTACAAGATTAATTTCTAGCAAGAAGCAATGCATCAATGTAAGAACGGGGTCAAAAGTTTTAGGATAAGGAAACAGTTTCTGCAATGAAGAAAAGGATTGTCTTCACCGAACACATACAAGATCCAGAACGGATCAAAGATGATATTTGATATGTCCAAGAGAGCTGGACTACGCCCTTATCACATCAATACAAAAGCATTGGTAGAAAAAGAGACAGAAAAGTGAAACACAGGACTACAATGGAAAAAATAATGATTATTTTTTAATATGACAAACCAACACCCTAAACTTCCAACCTACGAGCCAAAAAGTAGCCCTTTCCACTTTGCTCTCTTGGTAACTCGCCTTTAGGTTGGAGGGGGAGGACCTTTACCATAAGGTTCTCTCTTTTTGTCCTTCAAAATTATAATGACTTCTAAAGCATTGTATTCTTCTTCAGTCATACTAACCTCACACCGGCTTTTAAATAGTGTAAAATACGGGCCTCAAAGACGGAATCCTTAATGGGTTGTTAACAACATGTCAATAACAGCATGCTCTTGTAAGTGTTAGAAACATTTTAGTGGAAGAGGTGAAGAACATCCGCTAGCTGCAAAATTACCCCATAGCAGGGTTGCCAGGGGTTACCATTGGCATCCATCAAAAGGGATGCTCATTACTGGAATCTGGTGATTGAGAGGGTCGAGAAAATCAGGAAGGTAAAAGGAACACATCTATTCCAAAAGGATTCAAAGAGATACTGATAAAGAACACTCTATCTGGTATTCCACCTACTACATGTCTCTAGTGCATATGCCTGCAACCATGGGAAATGGAGTCGGGCAAACTGCCAAGGAACTTTCTAAGGGAAACAAATAAGGAGTAAAGAAGTACCCACTAACAAATTAGGACATACTTACATCTCCTGTGAAGATTGGAACACATCTATTCCAAAAGGATTCAAAGAGATACTGATAAAGAACACTCTATCTGGTATTCCACCTACTACATGTCTCTAGTGCATATGCCTGCAACCATGGGCAATGGAGTCGGGCAAACTGCCAAGGAACTTTCTAAGGGAAACAAATAAGGAGTAAAGAAGTACCCACTAACAAATTAGGACATACTCACATCCCATGTGAAGATTGGAAGCTTAGGAGTAAGGGACCTAAAGGCTTTAGCAAAGCCCTAATAAGAAAATAATTTGGGAGCTTGGCATTGAGGATCAACTGCTATGGAGGAAGGTCACAGCAAATAGATACGAGACTAGATGAGAATTAAAGCAAGTTCAAGGGAAGATAAGAATTTAGAATCCTGAAGCAGATCATGAGGTCGAATACGAAACATAAAAGGAAAACAAACAAAAGATTCAACAAACAGCTGTAGAAGATTCATTAGTTACCGCAATCTGATTTCTTCCTTAGCTGAATCTTTTGCATCGTCTGCAGTTGTTACCAAGAAGGGTAACTTCAATCTTACTGCATTCAACACCTGGACATCCTCTGCAGCAACCTGCGCGCATAACCAATTAGTGGAAATATAAAAACTTTGGTAAGCAACTGGCATATAAAAAAGTTGCATGACGGGATACAGTCAAAGCCACTAAACAGATCCAATCAATTAAGAAATAATTAGAAGATCATGAAAGTGAAAAGACAAACGTCCTTGGATGATAAGAACCTCAGCTTTAGAAATTTGACTAAGGCCCTTGTCCAGTTTCTGATTTAATTTGACTAGTAATACTTTGGTACTTATTCAGAAACTTAACAGCACTTTAGATTAGAGGTAAGGGTGGGCGTTCGGGCAGCTCGGATAGGATATGAAAATTTCGGTTTGGATATTCGGCTTTTGGATTGAAGAAATGACAATCCAAATGCAATTCAAATAAGTTCGGATTGGGTCGGATTTTTTAAGTTCGGTTTCGGATTAATCGGTTTGAATATTTTGGATTATTGGTTTTAAGCCTATAAGTTGAGACGTTTCTTCTTCTTACAAAAATGAACATCCAAATGAAGTATTCATGTTACATTGCCTAAAAAGTTCCTCATTCTCACTGCAATCATCCAAATAAAGTGTTCAAGTAATGAAATCATCATCAAGAAAATGCAACAGAGATATTAATAAGGCCGATAAGAATTAACAATAGTAAAGTCATGTCCAGATAGAAAGTATTCTGACAGTAACTTAGTAATTAGTATCGGATATATGAGATAATGTCTAATTGGCATGGTATTGAACGTATTAGTAATAGGCATATGGATAATGGATTAAATATAAAGTATAAAAAAATTGGATTTTCAGATATCCAAAAATCAAAGTACTAAATCCAACATCCAATCCGAAATCCAAAAATTTTAAAAATTAATTCCGAAATCCAATCCGTAATCCTAAAATCCAAATCAAATATCCAAAAGATTCGAATTTTGGTTTGGATTTCGGGTTTGCCCAAATTATGCTCACTCCTAATTAGAGGTCAATTTATCCAACCGTAAAATGTATGCCATTTTTTCTTTCTCATTTTTTCAGCAACATTTAACTATTTTAGCTGCAATTAAGCTACAGCCTAAAAACCTTTACTAGTTATCACAAGTCCTAAAGTCCAATTACACCAATTTGATCAGTTCTATGGCATCCTGTTTGTTGTTTACCGTTCATTATGGAGAGATGTATGCATACAAGATGCTTGTACCATTGAACAAAATATTCAGATCCCCCAGCATAATATACTATGAACATGCCTCATGACAAAAGCAGTCGCCAGAGAAAGCTGGGAAGCTAATGGAAAAGCTCTACTTGACATAAGTAAGATTCTGCAATATCAGAGCCATTACAAATTGGAACGTCATGTAAACTCATTAAAAGCTTCATGCCTTGAGGATCTTTTATAAGTTTTTAAGGTAAATATAACTTTAGAAATGCCACATGATTCTCAATTGTTACGAGCAACCAATGAACGCAATTATATCAAGTAAAAAACTAAACTAATACTATAAATGAGGAGAGACAGAAGTTCGACACTCACTGAAAAAGATGGAAGAAGAGAGAAGTAATTGTGGTGAATCAAAAGTCGTCTCAAGTTACCTCTATCGTGCCAGTTTTCATCTTTTTGTTGACAGAGTCAGCTGGCCTAGGCCGAACAACACCTTCAATGGCAACTACATATTCAAGCCTCAGATCGCTCACAGCAGAATGAGCATCAGGAAAATCATCAGGAAGTGTCGTAATCTGAAATGAAGAGTTTCATCACCAGTTTAGCCTTAGGGTCTATCACTTACATCAAGAGAGCACAACCAAACTTTGAGAGACTACAATTTTCTACAGATAACGCTGCATAGAGAGAATAACTTGAGGAGAAATGACGTTTCCATAAGAAAATTGGGACATCAATTATTCAATCAACTTCGCATCAATTCAAAACTAGTTGCCGGTATATAAATACTGCTCTATTCAGATCCCATTTCATTCAAATACCTAACGGGTTCCTTAGAGATAACACAGCAACCTAAGAGATCGTCAATTTTTATAATGATACATAAAGATAAAAGCTTGTAAAGACGTGACATTTCCATATAAAAATCGGGAAAAAATACAATCAATCAAGTATGCCTCAAAAACAAATTGCATCATACATAAAGATAAAAGCTTGTAAATATGTCACATTTGCATATAAAGATGGGTTTAACAATCAATCGATCTATCTTTGCATCAATCCAAAAATAGTTGTGTCAGTACAAGAATCTTCTATATTCGTTCAGCTCTATTGTGGCCATTTCATTCAAATACTACAGGGGTCACTTAAAGATAACTCAGGCAAACTTTCAAAAGTGTCAAATTTCTATCATAATACATAAATAGAAGATCTTATAACATGTGGCGTTTCCCTAATATAACAATGGGGATAACAATAATCAACTAATCCTCAATAAAAAACTAATTTGGATTCTAATATGAATCATCTAAATCCATTCGGCTCAATTAGGGTCAACTTGCATTGAAATATTACGGGGGGGGAGGTGAGGGGGTTCACCTGAACAATTCCAGTTTGGTCCCTGAGGTTGACGAAAGTCAAACCACCATGAATCCGATGAAGGGCGACCCACCCGCAAAGCCGAACCCGTTTACCCACATCGTTTTCCGATAATTCACCACAGTATTGAGTCCTGCTAACCCATTGAAGGGTATCAGTAGTTGTAGGAGATAGAGAATTTTTGGTGCTAGGGGTAAGTGTTTCAACGGAAGTTAAAGGACCAGTGGCAAAGGCGGAAGAAAGCGTGCGGCTACTGATAAGTGAAGTTGGGGTAATAATAATGGGGTGGTTGTGGAAATTATTAAGGAAGAAGAAAGGTAGAGAAGTGAGAGGGGAAGGTTTTGAGCGAAGACCTATGGTGGGTAAGGAACGGAAGAAGAGGGACATGGCGAAGAACAGGGAAGGATTTTTTTGCTTTAGAGGTTTTACAGTTTTGTGGACAAGATTTGAGGTTTTGGAGCAGATTGAATTGGACCGTTGTGTGCGCTCATACATAATTCGGCTTATCCCAAGCGATTTATAAGTCGCATTAGCACAACGCGATATATATCTCATTAATGTAACGCGATTATAATTAAAATTGCAGATTAGTTGAATTTTCCAATCAATAATTTTACTACCACAAAATAATACATAAATCAAATATCATCATATAATTGGAATCGACGAAGTATTGAAATATTTTGTTGAATAATACAATGCATATGATATGCATTTTATTTTAAAAAATGCTTTTAAATATTGAAAATAATCTGAAAATATTATGACAATTTTAGCTAAGCAACCTAAATAATTGGTCGTCTAGAAAGCAAATTATGTAGAAGACATTATTTTATTTTTCTTGTTAGGGTATTGAGGAAGGAGTATTGTTTGATGAGACGCGAGACGGTGTGAACGCGCAATTAGAGGTATGGAGGCAAACTCTAGAATCTAAAGGTTTCAAGTTGAGCACTTGGAGTGTAAGTTTAGTGGCGAGACTCATGGAGGGGAAGGGGAGGTGAGGCTGGACTCGCAGGTCATCTCTAGGAGAGGGAGTTTTAAGTACCTTAGGTCTATTATTCAGGGGATGGGGAGATTGATGAAGATGTCACACATCGTATTAGGGCGGGATGGATGAAATGGAGACTCGCTTCCAATGTTTTGTGTGACAAGAAGGTGCCACCGAAACTTAAGGGTAAATTCTACAGAGTGGTGGCCAGACCAACGATGTTGTATGGGGCTAAGTGTTGGTCAGTCAAGATCGCTCATGTCCAGAAGACGAAGGTAGTAGAGATGAGGATATTGATATGGATGTGCGGGCACACCAGGTTAGATAGGATCAGAAATGAGGTTATTCGTGACAAGGTGAGTGTGGCCCCAATTGAGGACAAGATGCGGGAAGCGCGGCTTAGGTGGTTTTGGTCGTGTGAGGAGGAGGAGCACAGACGCCCCGGTAAGGAGGTGGGAGAGATTGACATTGGAGGGCCTACGGAGAGGTAGATGTAGGCCAAAGAAAAGATGGGGAGAGGTGATTAGGCAAAACATGTCGCACCTTCTACCGAGAACATGACCCTTGATAGGAAGGTATAGAGGTCGAGAATTAAGGTAGTATAGTAGGTAGTCTAGAGTGTTCATAACAGTAATATTGGCACGCAGTCTCGCTTTCGTTGGTAGTAGATTTTTATGACTAACCGTTGATTTCTTTCATTGTTGATCACCTTACTATCTTGTTGTTTTTATTGTGCTTTTATATGACTTTTTGGTACTGTCCCTTTTTGTCTATATTTTTATTAATGTGGTGTTTTTACTTTCTTGAGCCGAGGGTCTATTGGAAACAACCTCTCTATCCTCATAAGGTAGGTGTAAGGTATGCGTACACACTACCATCTTCAGACCCCATGGTGTGGAATAATAATGGGTATGTTGTTGTTGTTGGTATTGAGGAAGGAAAATTCTCCAATTGAATAAGACTCTATGTTGTAAGGGATACAACAAATGTAAGGTTGTACGCAACTATTCTTTTTTTTTTTTTTTTTTTTTTTTTTTTTTTTTGAGAAACTATCAAGTTTGTCCTTTTAGAGCAACAATGCTACCAATATTAGTCAATTCATAAAATATTATCAATAATAGCCGGATGCTACCAAATATTAGCCAATTAATTTTTAGTATTTAAGTGACCATAAGTCTTCCCTTTTTGTATATTAATCATGTTAATCATATACTCTAATCATTTCTTTTCATAATTTTTTAATTTTTTGTTTTGTTTTATTTTATGTTGCATTTAAGCTCTTATTCGTCTTGTTTCATTAGTCGATCTTAATAGTAATAAAAGCTAACCAAGTTGATGGTTAACTCTTAAATATCAAGTTCAATTAGACAAAATAAAATCACAAGATGACATCATCTTTCTTTTATGATAAATATTACTAAATATTTAAATATGTAATTTTTTTAAGTAAATTAGATAGAACGTTGGGATGAGGAATCCTAAAAGGAAGAGTTGAGTACTACCCATTGAAGAAAAAGCCTAACTCCATTGTGCTGCTTAGCTTGTTTAAGTTATGAAAACTTTGGCACTCAACTGCTAGCGTATTTCTCATTTCCGTTGTGTTTATAATTGCGTTAGGTGTTAGTAGTCATTTGCTAGCGTATTTTTTCAATTCCTTTATGTTTATAATTAGTTAGGTTTTAGCAGTCAGCTGCTGGCGTAATTCCGTTATTTCGAGCGGATGTTGTTGGAATAGATCGGTACATCTCAAGGAGTTTGAATCCTAATCATGAGACGATTTGATAGAGATTTGACATAGTTTGAATTGAAAATTGAGCCAAAATCAAAGTGAAAGACGAACATGGAAGAAGATGAGATGTGTATCCTCTTGTATATCCACATGTATCATTTATGTATCCCATATATATCAAATATATATCTCATGTGTATCCATGTATACTTATGTGTGAGATACATATTACATACATGTATCACAAAGAAATTTTTAAACTCGATTTTGGCTACAAATTTGACTCCAAACCAGTCTAAATCACTTTCAATCTTTCTCAAACTTTGCATATTGCCTAGAGTTTAAATTTGTAATACAGACTAGATGATTAATCAAGGCTCAAGCAAAGGGAAAGAGGACCTTGTTAAGTAGAAATGGCGTGGGATAATCACTTTTTAATATGGTATTTAATTTTTATCCAGTATTTTTAATGATGAGAAAAAATAGCCACTACTCTATTAAAATGAATACAAAAATATATTTTTACCCTTTTGTCACGAGTGTTGTGTAAATATTAAAGACACGATGTCCTTAATATTTACACTGCACATATGAAGTTAAGGACACTGTGTCCTTAACATTTACACTGTATATATAAAGTTAAGGACATGATGTCCTAAAGTTTAACAACGGAAGGTGCAAATACAGGACACTTTGTCCTTAATATTTATACAGCATTCATGAAGTTAAGGACACCATATCTTTAATATTTACACAACACTCATAAAGTTAAGGACACCATGTCCTTAACATTTACATTGCACACGTGATGTCCTTAACATTTACACTACACATATGAAATTAAGGACATGAGGTCCTAAAGTTTAACAACAGAAGGTGCAAATACAAGTTAAGGACATTATGTCATTAATATTTACACTGCACACATGAACTTAATGACACCATGTCCTTAACATTTACACTACACATATGAAGTTAATGATATGATGTCCTAAAGTTTAACAACGAAAGGTGCAAATACATGAAACGTTGTCCTTAATATTTACACAGCATTCATGAAGTTAAGGACATCATGTCCTTAATATTTACACAATACCCATGTCTAGCACAAGGGTATTTTCGTCTGGGCAAGTAAAAATTTATTAAGCACCGGCTAAAGAGTAAATATATTTTAAATAGTGGCTAAAAACTCTAATTAGTGGCTAAATGTTCACTTCCCCCTTGTTAACTACCTTTTGCAATGCTAAGGAAAGAGAGGAACGTGCAATTTCTAAGTTATCTTTGTGTAAAAATCAAAGTATGAGTAATTTTAGTTTCTGAAGTTCTAAAACGTTAAACTAACAAGAAAGAATGATATAAAAAAGAGAGCCTCGAAGGAAGTTCAAGATTTGATCAAAAAGATTTTTAACATAATCGAAAGATTACAAACAGGAGTATTTAAATTTTGCAATTTTTCGTGGCTATTTTTTATAATTAGTGCTTGCCGGCTAATTGTTGGTAAGTTTGAGCAAATTTCGGCTATTTCCGTACTTTTTCAACTTGCTTGCAACTATTCATTAGAAAATAAATCACATATTCGGTAGGCTACTTCGGTTATTGTCTCATTCTCTTGTTTTGATGCTCGATTTCTTTTGCTTTAACTTATTTCCTAGCATGCCAGCGAGGAAACTGTAGTCTTGAGCTCAGTAAAATTCAGGTAATATAGATGTTTATAAACTATGATAATAAATAGGTGATTATCATCAGTTAATCAAGTTAGTTCTCGAATCTCGTTCCTTTTCTTTTTTTTTTACTATTCACTAGTATTAGTACTCGTGCGATGCGCTGACAAATCATGTCAAATTGCGATGCAGGTTGTTTGAATCATGTGCTAACCTTAAAATATAAATCTCTCTGATAAAAATTATATAACATGAGAATTTAATTATGAAGCAGGATATGAAATTATTGTTTAAATCTTGTAGTAGACAACCAAATTATTTTTTAAATATTTGTAGCAACCTAACCCTTTGATTCTAGTACTTGCATTTCATTTCGCTGTCAATATTAAAGAATACTAAACATGTCATATTGTGATCTGTCTAGTATGAGCACATTAGATCATATTATTTTAACAAAATTCTTACTATCACTTTATTTTTATCTCAAAGTCAAATATGTCTTATTCATCACATCATTTTTACGTAATTTTTTTTTCTTTTTGTTCTTTTCTTATAGTTATTGTATTATTTATTATTTAATATTATTATACTATCATATAATTTTTTATTAGCTTATAATTAAATTAATGTCTTGCTTATTATTATTTTAATAGTATTTAATAAATATAAATATTTTATTCTTGAAAATTGATATATTTTTATGCTTGCATCCTCTTATTCAGAATATTTTAATCATTTAAATTTATTAGTAATATTTTTAAATATAATTTAATTATTTTATTTTATTTATTTTTAAATTAATTTAAAGTATAAGTATCCTCACACTAGCTCTATACATTCTCTTCCTTACTATAAATTTTAATTAGTTTTTATATTAATGTTTTACCTATAACCAAAATAATGTCATATTTTATTTTAAATTGTAACTTTTAATTAGTCTAAAATATTAATACATAATTTATTTGATTATCATGTTCCAAATGTATTGAGTTTTCTTATAATTAATTTTGTATTAGATGCAGTTAAATTTTCTTTCCTTTTTAGCTATAAGATACAATTTAATTTTTAATTTTCATTAGTAAAATTACCAATATTAAAAATTTATTTTGTATTTTTAAA